CCCCGCGGCTGCCCTCGGCTGCCCGCCGCCCCGCCCCGAGCCCGCGTCGGTCGCGCTGGACAGTGGGGTTGATGCAGGAAAAAAAGCGGTGTGGTTTCTGTCTGGCCTGGCTGCGCCCCTTTTTTGGGTCACGTGAGCCGGGCGGTTGTTGACTTCCTTAAATTGCTGCGAGCAGAGGAGAGGGCCTCGTCGGGCGCGCCGGCCGCAGGGGCCCTTTGTACGGCGTGCAGTTTCAGGGGCGCCTCGTCCCTAGACGAGGGCACGGGAAGTCGAGTCGTCTAGCTCCTGCCTCGCGGGAGGGTGTGAAACTCTTTTTGTTCGTAGTCAGCCACAAGCAAGACGACTTGGCCGCACATTGGGGACCCCTCCTGCCTCTCGGGAGCTTTTCCTGTTCCCCAGTACCTCTTCCGACTCTTAAAAGGAAAAAAAGACCAAGACGACTTTTAGGAAAACTGTTCATAATTTCATTTGGCTCCCCATCAAGCCGTCTGATTAGTGAAAAAAGTTGGGCATAAAGCGTACTTTAAGGAGGTAAGCGAAAGGTGGTAGCCGAAACCACACGAATGCAGGCTGTTAGCGTTCTGCAGCGGGTGCGTTTGCTTTTGGAGGCAGACGGTAAAGGGTGATTTTGAATTATTTGAGTTTCTGCGGTTTGGGTTAACGTGAAACTATGCCTTCACCTTCCTTTTTGTAACCTTGAAATACTTGTTGGCCTGGGTGTCTCACAGTGCGAGGTACTTGTTGAGTGGAGCTGAATAAGCTGGTCAGTGTTTGTGTATCCGTTAAGCGCCCTTTCTTTATCTTTCCGTCTTTTTTGCGATTAGGGCGAATTTTTCTCCAGTTTAACTGTCTTAACAATTAGGCATCCAGTTGATACATTTTAAATTCTTGAATGATGTAGAAGGGCATATCACAGTGACATAAAATTCATCACTGGGTGAAAGGACTTTTTTTTTTTTATTAAAGTGTTGGTTTAAGACAAAATGGCTGAAGCGAATTGTAGTGAGTTGTGTTTCCCTGCCAATAAAATGACAACTCCTTTATCACTTACAAATAACCTCAATCCAGCTGTGCCTGGCTCCCCTATTGTACACCAGTTTTAAAATTAGGGACCTTAACAGTGTAAGTTACTACAAAAATTACTTAAATTTTTTTTTCATTCATTGAATAAATCTTTATTCAATGTTGATTGTGTTTTAGGCCCTGTTCTAGGCTCTGGATATATATTTATGAACAAAGAAAAGAACTCTGCTCTTGTGGAGCTTACACTTTAGATTGGGATGGAATTGGCAATACATTTACATAAACCTGACCATACCTATTGGCAAAAAGACGCACATATTTAAACAGTATCATTATTAATACTAGAAAAGGAAGGATCGCTTTTTTCTTTCCTGTCTTTTTGAGACAGGGTCTTGTTATGCAGTTGAGGCTGGCCTTGAGCTCACTTTGTAGCCCAGGCTAGCCTCAAACTCAAACCATCCTCCTGTCTCAGCCTCCCAGCCTCTGGAGCACTCAGATTACAGGCATGGGCCACCACACCTGGCTGTAAGGATCGCTTTGAGCGTGCTTAATTTTGTCCTTCAGCAGTCTTTAAAACCTAACCAACTTATAAGGTGTGACTCCACTATACCAAAAGGGAACCATTTTAAGGATTTGAGCATCAGAACAACAACATGATGAATTCATGTCTAGTCAGTCTGGTCTGGTAACAGAGAACAAAACATAGCACATCCACAATCAGCCCGCAGTTCTTTTTTTTTTTTTCTGGTTCTTTTTGAGACAGGGTCTTAAAAAAAGTATCTTTTTTGTTATCCGGGGGGTGGAACCCAGGTCCACATACGGTAAGCAGACATTTTGCCCCTGAAGAACATCTCCAGCTCCTCAAGAATCCTTAAAAGATTGGCAGCCAGCCATCAAAGCACGTGCCTGTAATGCCAGCACTCTTTGGGGACTGAGGCAGAAGGCTGGAAAGTTAGAGCCTGCCTTGAGTCACGACTTAGTAAGACCTTGTTTCAAAATAAAACATTAAAAAAATGGGGAATGCAGAGAAGAATGAAGACCTTGGGTTGAATCCCTAGTAGAAAAAAAATCAGGTAAAATATCCATAACATGAAATTTATCATTTTGTTGTGGCAAAATAGGCATAATGTAGCATTAACTATTTTAACCTTTTAAAAAACATCTATTTAGGCTGGGGATTTAGCTCAGCGGCACGGCGCCTGCCTGGCAAGCGCGAGGTCATGAGTTCGATTCCCGGTACTGGAAAAAAAATCCAAAAACCGAAAAAAAAAAAAAAAAACAACAAAAAAAACCCATATTTATTTATTTGTTTATTTACTTGTTTGTTTTTTTCTTTTTTTGAGACAGGGTCTTGCTATGTAGTTCAGGCTGTTCTTGAACTCAGTACGTAGCCCAGGCTGGCAGCCAACTTGCAGTGATTCTCCTGTCTCAGCTTCCCTGGGCTGAGATTACAAGTGTGTGCCACCATGCCTGGTAATTTTAACCATTTTTAAGAGTAGAGTTCAGTAGTGTTACGTACATGTGTAATATTGTGTAAATATCACTACTTATTTCCACAACTATTTCATACAGAAACTCTGTACCCATTAGGTTAACTCATTTCCTATTTCCCCTAATCTCCATAACCCCTGTTTTTCTCTGTGAATTTTTTTTTTTTTTTGGTGCCAGGAATTGAACTCAGCACCTTGTGCTTGCCAGGCAGGCACTTGTGCCACTGAGCTATATCCCCGGCCCTTCTCTGTGAATTTGTCTAGTCTAGGTACTTCGAGTAGGTGGACTCATACAACATTTGTTCCTTTGCTTCTGGCTTATTTCACGTAGCATAATGTTTTGAAGGTACATGTGTTGTTTGGTGCTGGACATGCCAGATGTGCACTCTACCCTTGAGCTATGCTGCCAGTCCAGATTCAACCATATTTTAGCGTATATCAGAATTTCTTTTATAAGGCTGAATGTTCCATTGTGTGTATGTACCACATTTCATTAACCCATTCATCTGTTGCTAGATATTTGGGCTGTTTACATCTTCGGGAGTTTGGAATGATGCTGCTGTATGGATGTGCAAATAACTTCCAAGTCCCTGATTTCATTTCTTTTGGGTATACACCCAGAAGTGGAATTGCTGGATCATGTGGTAATTTTAATACTCTGAGGAACTGCCTTTTTTTTTTTTTTTTTGAGAGAGGATCTTGCTGTATAGTTCAGGCTGGGTTTGAACTCACTGTGTACTCCAGGCAGGCCTTGAACTTGTGGCAATCCTCCTGCCTCAGCCTCCCAAATGCTGGGATTACAGGTGTGCACCACCATGCCTGGCCAAGTTAAATCTTATATGAAAACCTAACATTTTTGAAGGTGAGTAAAATACTGAAGTTTTTTTTTTATAAAAATAAGAAAATTTCTATTTTACACATGGATAAACAGTGAAGAGGCTGATTTTTTATCTGAAAAGATTTAGTTTGTCGGGGCCTCGGGATTTAGCTCAGCGGCACAGCACCTGCCTGGCAAGCGCCAGGTCGTGAGTTCGATTTGCGGTACCGGAACCCCCCCCACCCCGCTGCAAGAAAAAGATTTAGTTTGTCTACATTTAGATCTCAGCTAAACATGCATCAGTAGCAACAACCTCTTTCCATCACAAAATATTTAAAATACCCATTAAATGAAGGCACTGTTTTCATCAATGAGTAAATGCTTTTGAAAGAGCCTTTTTCATTTATAAAGTTTTATAACAGGCTAGGAGTTGAGGGGAGGGGGTTACTTGGTGTCAAAAAAAAGTGTGGTATTTGAACTTGATGGTAGACAGTGTTCCCCAAGCCTGAGAAGGGTGGGGGCTTCCCCAAGAGAGGCCATAGGTTAATGAGTAGCTGACTTTTGATTGGAAATGGAATTAATGAAGGATGTTTAGAATGGAATACACTCTGTAATAAAGGCTGTTTTAATGCATCAACTCTTCGTAGCTGGAACATTAAATAGATATGAATTCCCTCTGTGTAGCTTAATACATTTGAATGAAATTCTAAACAGTTTTTAGTGAGAACTGTAGTTGTTGCTTATAAAAGGCATCTACCCAAAGTACAACGGACAAGAGTTCTAGTCACTGGTTGATTGGTAACTGTGCACCAGTTTCTTTAGCTCCCAGAGCATTTGCTTCCTCCTCTGAGAAAGATTGATTCTGTTGGGTAATAAACTGGAAAGTATTGGAAATGTAGTGCAAATGCAGGGACACAGGTTCTGTTGTTGGCAGGGGTTCTGAACTGGAAAAACAAAGATGAAGTCTTGGTTTTTTGTATATTTTTTGATCAAAGTTCACAATCTAGTGATTATACCCACTACTTTTTCACCAGCTTCCCTTTTTTGCAGAGCAAGATATTTTGTTTGTTTTTGTGGTACTGGGGGTTGAACCTACGATCTTTACACTACCCCTTTTAAAATTTTTTAACCAGCTGTGTTATCCTGGCTGGCCTGGAATGTGATCTTCCTGCCTTAGCCTCTCAGAGTGCTGGGATTACAAGTGTGCACCACCACGTTTGGCTCATTTTCTAATCCTAGTGTTTTTTAGGAGAGAAGTCCTTGGGTTTTTTTTTTTTTTTGTCTTTTTGAGACAGGGTCTCACTGTGCAGTTCAGGCTGGTCCTGAACTCACTTTGTAGCCCAGGTTGATCTCAAACTTGCAATGATCCTCCTGCCTCAGCCTCCCGAGTGCTGGGATTACAGGTGTGCGCCACCATGCCTGGCCTAGGAGAGAAGTCTTTGAATTGTCACCTTTCTTCATACCTTCATAAGTAGGATTAAACATTCTTCTACCAGTCTCACCTCTTTTGTTTTACATGCTACAGTATTTGTGAACCTTGTAGAATTCCAGGTCTGTCTGTTGGCATATGTCTCAATATGGAGACTAAATCCTTTGGGGAAGTTTCTTCATCTAGACCTGGAGACCAAATCCATGCACCTTATTGTTTCCTTGGCTTTTTGAATGAGAACTGTGTGGTTGGTTTATAAGATGTGTGAGTATAATAAGCTAGGAGTTGAGGGGAGAGGATTACTTGGTGTCAAAAAAGGAACTGTGGTATTTCAACTTGATCGTAGTTAGTGTTCCCCAAGCCTGAGAGGGCTTTTTGCCTTTGTATTAGTGCTCATTTAAAATGTTTTCGTTTCTTAAGATATGAATTACTTTCATTAGAAAGATTTGCAGGAAAGAAGTTGAGCATGGTAGTCCATGTCTGTAATCCTAGCACTCTGGCACCTAAGGCAGAAGGATCAGAGTGTGAGGTCCTTGTAGGGTACTTATACCAGTTTGAATTAGTCTGAACTACTTAATGAAACACTATCTCAAGAAAACAAATGAAAGATTTGCAGGAAAGAGAAAGACTTGCAGATAGATCCTGTGGCAAATTGTTTTCACATTTTTATAAATTCTGAAATACAGCTATGTGATTTGAGGCTCATAATACTTTTTTTAGTATAGTGTATTTACATACATAAATACATACATTACATAAATACATACATATT